ACACACACACACACACACACACACACACACACACACACACACACACACACACACACACACACACACACACACACATACTTTGCACGCCCCTGTGGTGAAATATCATGTTCACGTTTCCATCCTTCTAGATAAACTGCAACCGACAAGGTTATTTATTCAGTTGTCTGCTTTCGTTAAGAGAAGTCATGTTTGATTTCCGTCCTTGGTGTTTCATTCATGTTTATCTGAAAATATCCTCTGTGATAACAGTGCTTCAGACTTTTGCAGAGCTTCAGTGTCTGTGTTGTGTCTGGAAAGTGACCTTGGCCCAACATATATTGTAGCAAGGATGTGACACAGACACAGAAAGGTGCTGAAAAATGAAAGACTGAAGAACAGTGAACCCCGGCTATATCGTGATTCATCCTTAATGCCCCCGCTCTATTGTGGAGTTTTCGGTGATTGTACGTCATATGTATATAGAGAGAGAGAGAGAGAGAGAGACACACACACACACACACACACATATATATATATATATATATATATATATATATATATATATATATATATATATATATATATATATTTTTTTTTTTGAAAACTCATGTTTTCATTTAATCCCGCCCGACAGCTGGTAACCCCACCCACCATTGGGCCACACTTTGTGACGAGCGGTGAGACTTCTTTGTTGAGCAATTGAAACATAGGAGGGTCCAAAGGTGAATACATTTGGATACAAGAATTATCTTTTTGATAAAATGGAGAAAAAGGCAATAGCAACATGCAAGGTTGGCAACAAGCAGTCTTCAGGTAAGAGACACAACATGTACCGTACGTTTATCTTCATCTGTGAGATGCAGGCAATTAGCTGTGTGAACTGTGAAGCTAAGCAAGCTTGGCTCACGTTTGTTATTATGCTCCGAGTGCGCACTGGTTCATTCCTACCGTTTGGAAGCTCGGAGCATTGCTCAAATTTGTCGTTGGGTTATTCAGAGTGTAGCAAAAACGAGGCGCTGGTGCACGAAATAAGCGCTATGACTGAGGACACGGTGCGCCAGTGATGGTTGCATTCGAAAATTAATGGGAGCGGCGAGCGTACTCTCCGAACACACCCACTCTCAGGGTAGTGTACTGTCGTCACAGTGAATATCAGCATGTGCCCACCATAATTTTTATTCTTTATTCTATTCTTTGGGGTTTTTTTTACATTATGCACAACTCTCATTTATTGTGCAATTATCTAATTGTAACATGCATTTATATATTTTGATGCATATTGATGCTTGAGGAAACATTTTGTCTGAATTTTGGGGGAGCTTGGAACAAATTAGGGCATTTACATGGAAAATGCATCTCTACTTTCAAAATTTTCGAGTTAAGAAATTTCTTCCATAACCAATTGATTTTGTAAGTAGTAGTATTTTCAAGGGGAAGCAATCACAACATTTTCTTGACAAATAAGTTCTGTGCGCCCACATGCATAATTGACATGAAGTTTCGTTAATATTTGATCACCTAGTGGTGAGCTAAACTAACTACAGGGCACATGCAGATATTCACTGTGATGACAGTACACTACCCTAAGGTGAGAGTTGTGCATAATGTAAGAAAAAACAAAAAAAACAAAACAAAAACAAAGAATAGAATAAAGAATAAAAATGACGGTCATTTAACTTTTAACTGCGTCCTCGTCGTTTTTTGCACTCTTTAGTCCATGTTCTCTCTCAGAATTCGGTTTTTGAGAAAATTGAATGCTTTTACGTGCGCCTTATAGTGTGGGAAATACATTCATGCACCAAAGCATGTTGTCACCCTACAATTACTAGAGAGTTAAACGTGACTGCCTGGGTAATCCGTGCCACGCAGTTGAATGTCAGTGTCAGCGTGCACGGTGGAACACACCATCATAGTCTGTGTTGATTTTAGAATGCAAAACCAAAATAATTTAAAGGGTCATACATGGGTTTTGACACGACTCATCTACTTTTTCGAGTCGCACTCGTTTGTCCACGGTCGTTGGACACTCCTCTTTTTGTATGCAATTACCTCCCACCAGCGGTAATTGACAGTAGTTGCAAATCTAGTGAAGTAGTAGTAGAAGAAGTAGAAATGTTTTAAGATGCCTGTTCAATTCTTTGACTACTCCTCGATGTCATCATTTCATGCAACATCTATGACAGATGACATACCACGTCACTGGCACGTGTCACAATCATAAACCGTCTGCATACGTGGCAGAGTCATCACTATCACAGCAAAAATAAAACAGTGCAGGATACCTTTCAGTCCTACGGACCGCAATGATTTTGTCACGTATTGTTTTTAACTCATCACACTGTGCGTGTCGGTTTTTAATTTATTTATTTAATTCAGCTGAGTGTATGCTTGCTTGTGTGTCTGGGTTTTTGAAAAATTTTTTTTTTTTTTTAATTCGGCTGAGTGTCCATTTGCACAGCGTCTACGTGTGACATGAAAATCACGTTCTCGACGCCGACCGGCTGTCGCCGATGAGGGACAGACTTGGACCACGTGGGTCGGCCTGAAATATTGACAGCAGTCCACTGACGGACTGCTGACACCCACCTCTGAAAACAGCGACATTTTTTCTGATGATGAATCAGGAGATGAATTGTATGCTGAATGTGATCTTCAAAGTTGTTTTTTTTTTGAGGGGTTGAGGCTGAATGACCATTTTGGGCCTATTTCATCTGTTGAGAGGTGATACTTTTTTTCATAGGTTAAAATCTCAGACCTGCTTTTGCAATTTACTTGCCAGTGGCCTGTCAACAGTTCCTGAGCGTCTGGGCTCAATATCTTTTTAATAACGCACTGGTTGCTGTGAACCTTTGACAGGTATGCAGGTAGACAAATATGGTTTGTTTTTCTTTTTGCTCAAAACTAGTGATTTCAACCTAGCGATATTAAAATTGCTGTTACTGCCTCAAGAATGAATTTAGTTTAGAATTGGAATATATGAATCAGAGATGAAAGTCCACCGGATTTTCCCGGAATTCCGGGTTTTTCAAATTTTTATGAAAATTTCTCCGGAGAATTGAGGAAACTTTGCATAAATTTAATCCGGATATTAGTTGACAACATTGAACGAAGACACGTTTGAGTTCGTTGTATTGCTTTCACGAGCGTAGCCATATTGAGGCACTAACACTAGTAACAGTAAAGAGATTTTTGTTTGTATAATAACGACAGAAGACATAATGGCTGGCGTTTGACTAATGGTTTAGTAGAACGAACGGCAACTCGCAACAACAGTAGCAAGCGTCATTTTGCCTCTTGGGTTATACCATATAAACTAAAACGTGGGGGATAGTCCCCAAACAATTTTCGTCTCTTTATAAACACACCTGCTAAACTCCAGTGGAACGAATAAAAGACGCCGTGGACAAGACAGTTGTCGTAAAAAATATATTTAGCCTAAAAGGGAAAAACACAGATTGGCAGAAAATCGTGTCCGTCCGACTTCGAGTGTCGTCTCGGCTAACTTAGCTTAGCTGTTGTCGTGTGTGACGTCATTTGCGTCGGCGCTGATTGGTTGAAATCAAAAGACGCGCTTGCGTACATGTTCGCGCTGAAGCACACACAGCAGAGAGCAGCGGACTATCTACTGCTGAGGCTCGCTTAGCTTGAGTGGCGTCGCCACAACAGTAATACCCTCGCCTCGCATTCTCATGGCCTCGCCATATCTTGGAGATTTCGAAATTTCGGCCCGAACGGAAGCCACAAAGGGTACACAAGTGCGTGTGTGTGTATATTTTTTTTTTCCGGAATTTTCAGAAAAGTCCACTTTCATCTCTGATGAATGGAATATATGAATATATATTGGAATATATATGAATATTTCAATTTGCATTTTTTTTAAACCACGTGGACAATTGAGCCAGAGCTGTGTGTCCATATTTATCTTCCCAGCAATGTTTGACACATTAGTAGGTGTTAAACACTCAAGCAAAGGTTTGTAAAAAAAGAATAAAATAAAAAAATAGCATGCAAATAAATGCATGCGTTACTTTTTTGTTCATTTTTTTTTCGACATAAATGGACTTTTTTGTGTTATGAGCAGTGATTTTTTTTTTTTTTTTAATTACTTCAATATATGTTGTGTCCGAGCAAAATTTTATGGCTTACGTCTTAGGACTTTGAACCAAGTAAGCCGTCTTGCTTGAAAATTTATTGTGCGCACACACACACGCACACACACACACACACACACACACACACACACACACACACACACACACACATTATCCCAGTCTCGCATGTTTGAGTAATTTCAGAGAATAAGGAAGTAGCGACGAACAATACTGTACGCATGAATGGAGTGGTAGGTTTTGATCTCCAAAGGATACACGCTTGCATGGTCTCGTGCCGTGAAGCATTCCTGATGCTGAGTTTTGAAAAGAACGCATTCTTCTCGTGACGTTATGAACAGTATTCATGATTCGAGATAGCACACAGACAGTTCATGAGAAGGATTCAGCCTTTGATCTGTTGTCACTTGAATCAGATTAATGGATACATTTTGCTGAAGTTGCAATGCTCATAGCATCCCCTGCGTTGGTATCCATTCAGTCCAGTTGAGAGATAACTGGTTCGGAAGTTCTTATAAACGTGCGCTTGAGCTAAACATGAGTTGACATTTGAACCGACTCATTCCATGTGAGTCATATAGATGCATGGCATAGGCTGGGCCAAATACTGAGTCAAAGGAGAGACATGTTTTCAAATGCACCATTATCCCACTGTGAGTCACAAGAAAAAGATGTCATTTTTGTAGTGCCTCTCAGTCTTGAACTACAAAATATGTATTATCTCTAAGTTGTTGTTGAAGTCTATTATATGGGTTCCCTTTAGCTGCTAAATTTTCTTGCACTACTTTTGTAGGCATTTGGAGATGCTTGACCCACTACGGTATCATGAAACCTTGCAACTGATTGCTTTTTTCGACTTTCAAACATGAATCTATTTGAATTTAATGTTGTTTTCTCCTCTCTGCTCCGCAGGTGTCACAGACTTGATCATGTTGCCCTGCGTCATTTTCATCAGCTTATTTTTATGGGCGGCCCACTCTCAAGAATCCCATCTCTTAAAGCCGTCAACCTTCATTAGCGAGTCCTGTGACTCCTTGTGCTCTTGCGAAGCAAAGGACGGTATCTTCTATATTAACTGCGAGCAGAGAAATATCAGTACAATCTCCCAAATAAAAGTTCTGTCCAACGTGCCCTTCCATCTGAACCTTTACAAAAACGACTTGGTTGAGCTCCGTGCGGAAGAAATGGAAGTGCTCAAGAATGCCCTCTCTCTACACGTCGGCGGTAATAGCATTCAAGAGTTGGAGCCAGGAGTCTTTAGTGCCCTCGGTTCACTGAAAAAACTCCACATCAACAGGAATTTCCTCGTCACACTCAAGGAGGACACTTTTCAAGGCCTGGTGAATTTGGAGTTTCTCCAAGCGGACACCAATTTCATTCGGGTCATTGAACCGGGGGCCTTCAACAAACTGATCCGCCTCAAGGTCCTCATCCTCAATGACAATTCCATCGAGTTTTTACCAAACAACATTTTTCGTTTCGTGCCTCTCACCCACCTGGACCTACGAGGCAATAAACTGCACACGCTGCCTTACGTTGGCTTTTTAGAACACATCGGCCGGATTATGGAACTACTCTTGGAAGACAATGACTGGGTGTGTGACTGTGACATTTTGCATTTAAAAATCTGGATGGAGAATATGAGGGGCCAGTCTGCCATCGGGGAGGTGGTTTGCAGTGCGCCGCGCAACTTCAAGGGGACCATCTTGGCTAAAGTCAAGCGAGAAATTCTCTGTCCATCCCACGCAGATATCAATTTAGAAGAGCCCTCCAAGTCACTGGACATGGTTGTGACGCCATCATCCAAAGGGGCACAGATTCCCAAAATGAGCGATGCCAAAGACGACGCCAAGCAACCAACGCCATCTCACATTCCGAGTAGTCCTTGCGTAGAGCATTGTTCGTGTCACAGTTATCCGGTGGCAGGGTTTTTGATGCACTGTCAAGACAGAGGAATTCAAAAGGTGTCCGATATCGGAGTACCTCCTCAAAGTCCGACTAAATTGGTCATGACAGGAAATATGATTCAGAAACTCTACAGGTATGATTTTGTTACACATGATGGCCTGGAATTGCTCAATTTGGCAAACAATAGAATTGATTATATTGACAATGAGACTTTCCTTAGCTTAAGCAGTTTGAAGAAACTGCATCTTAATGGCAACCGGATCGAAAAACTGCACTCCACCATGTTTGTGGGTCTCCACAACCTCGAATACTTGTACCTGGAATATAACCTCATCAAGGACATTGCTCCAGGCACCTTTAATCCCCTGCCAAATCTTAATCTGTTGTCATTAAACAACAACCTGCTCAGCTCTCTTCCCGCACAGATATTTCGCAATGCACCCCTCGCAAAATTGAATCTGAGGAAAAATCTGTTTATGCACCTGCCAGTGAGCAACGTACTTGACCAACTCGACTCATTAGAGCAAATCTATTTAGAGGACAACCCTTGGGACTGCAGCTGTGACTTGTTTGGCCTGAAACAGTGGGTAGAAAAACTGAGAAAGGACACAGTAGTGGGCTCCATTTTGTGCCACACCCCAAAGAAAGTGATGCAGGCCGATCTTAGAAGCCTCCGCCACGAAATGCTGTGCACCGGTTTGGGCACCCACTCTTTGGTTCCAGATGGCGAGGAAAGCGTGACCGCCACGCTGGGCCCCGATGGCACCGGTAGAGGCTTGCTCAACTCCCTCACAGACACCGTCCCACTCTCCGTGCTCATTCTTTGCCTTCTTGTTTTAGTCCTCATGATTATATTCTGCTCGGCCGGGCTGGTCGTGTTTGTGGTGCACCGGCGGCGCCGCAGAGCGAAAAGAAAAGCAGCGGGAGATCACCCAAGAGATAACAGCAGCAGCAGCCCCATTCACTTACATTATAGCATGTACGGGCAGAAAACAACACACCACACACTGACACAAAGACCCGGGTCTTCCACACTGTACGAGGAGAGGTCGCACAGTCCCATTGTGCAGATATGTCGCAACCCCACCTACTGCTCTCAGCACAAAGATCACGATACCGATCTGGATTATGGCCTCGACCAATCCAGCTCCAAGAATCACGCCTGCCGGAGTATCATGGAGAAAGAGAACACCTCCCCACTTACAGGAAACCCGATCTCCAAGTTCAAGCCAAAGGCAGGGGAATGCCCGGCTGAGTTTGTTTCGCTCGGAGACCCCAACTCCTTGTATAGGAATATCCTGGAGCGGGAGAAAGAGTTGCAGCAGCTCGGAATAACGGAGTACCTTCGAAAAAACATGGCTCATCTTCATCCTGCTGTAGAGAGGCAGGGCCCAGGGCACCAGGAGGAGTTAAAGTTAATGGAGGCAATTATGTACTCCCGGCCACGCAAGGTCATGCTCGAGCAAACTAAGAATGAGTACTTTGAACTCAAGGCCAATTTACATACAGAGCCAGACTACTTGGAGATCGTCGAGCATCAACCGGCATATAACTGAGCTCCGTCACAAATTCAAACCCAGTGTGACGTTTTGAAGCAAGTGCCTTTCCCTCTTTGCCCTCCTCCACTTACCACAGTGTGAAATATCTGTAACGGGCACGTCACTTTATGTCAAACTGTAGCACAGAATGTAACTGCGCAGATATTTTATCGATTGACAGCCATGTGATGTAGCCAGCCAGGGGAAGGTGGACTTTTTTTCTCTCGCCAAATGTAACATAAACGGGCGCTTGTTTTTTGACCCATTCGATATGCCCGGCTTCCAGATGAATTGATCGGAAGGGACTCTGCCCTCAACCCCCCTGCCCCACCCCCACACACACATACAGTACATTCGGTCAGGATAAAGCAGATGTTCGAAAACAGTGAATTTGAATCACCACTTGACCTAGAATTGCTGTTTAATCAGTCTATCCTCACTCCGGGTCTGACCTGATTCCACCCTCTGTCAACATAAGCCAGCTGGATTGCTTGAACCAGAATGCTCATTGTGCTGCGGGCTGCAGGGGAGGCGGGGGTATATTGGGTGGAGGGGGTTTCGGGTCGGCAATAGAACTAACTGTACATCCGAAACACTGAAGCCTGGGTGTTGGGTTTTGTTTTTTCTTGTCACCTCTCCTGTCCTATACACTGACCACGTATCACGGAATAATTATTTATTTTTATACAGATGTGTGATAGGTCACATAGGCAAGGCTTTCTTTGTCTAAATGAACTATGTATCGAACGCTTAGAAGTAGAGTCCGTTATACAGTGCCACTGTCTTGCAAAATGCATTGCACAAATCAGATGCCACAAGAAAGTGCATGACAATCAACTGAGTCCTGCTGAATTGTTTTTCTTCCTGCGTCAAATACATGTATACAATCAGCCCCAATTTGGCTGACCTGAACATGTGTTGCAAACTGGACTGGTTTGAGAGATTGCAAAAGAATGCATTTCCATTTTGTGACTCTCTTCCGTGACGCTCAGCAAGACTGTCTGCAACTTATTTTATAAACCTGGACATTATTCAGGATTCCATTTAAGCACATACGCTGTTGCTGTTTTGTTTTTTTTTTCCCAACCGAACTTGATTGAATTATTTATTCTGTACATCTTGTAAATAGTCATGTCGCATTCTATATTTTGGTTTTGTGTGCCTTCAGTGCTGTACAGACCATTAAATGAAGTTGTAACTAATGAACAGAGAAAATAAAGAATACAACATCAATATGGATGTTTTAATGCGAGTTGAAGCATTGGGAATGGACATCTCAGTCTTTGCTTTCCTGATCCCCCTCCCACCTCCCCTCCAGTGAGCTTCCTACAATCCAGGCTCATACTGGTGCAAACAATAATGTGGTTATGTCCCTGCTGTTGTAGCCCTGCTTTCTGCGCAATGGCTCAAATCTAGTCCTTAATCACACAACAATGGCTGTGGGGGGTTGTCGCGAGCCAACACATTTTCTGCAACAATTGATGCTGCAAAAGCTCTTTGGGAGAGCAGCACACACTACCTCACAGCAGGGGACATGAAAACACATACGTACGCTGCAACAGCAGACAAACACCACACCGCTGTGGACTGATGTTTGTTGATGGACTTGTGTGCATAACACCCAATGCATGGATGTGGAAGGATTTATGAGGGAGAAATTGGAAGTATCGGTCCAATCTGAAGCACCGGTATAATTTTAGGGCCCTGTCGATCATGCTGCAAAAGTCATTCGCCAGAGGGAGACTCAAATTTAGTTTTACTAAGAAAACTTGATGCAAAGGTTGAGAAAATGGCTTTGTCCATTTTACATTTTTACTAGGATATGCGGTACTCTCAATAAGCTGTTTAACTTCTGTTAATAACACTGGGAAAACAGCATTTGTTTTCATCAGAGATGGCTTTAAAATAGCCTGAGAATATTTTTTTAACCCTGGTTTTAAAAAGATCAACTTTTTTTGAGCACTTCAGGTTTTTGAGATGAATTGAAGATGAGAATTTTTTTTTGTTGTTACGTTAGTCCTACTGGATAAAATCCTGCACAAGATTTTGCCAACGCGTTGTATTTCATAGCTATGGCGTTTCAGAAAAAAAAAAAAAAAATCCAACCATTGCTGAACCTAACCCTTATTTCGTAATTATTACTACACATATTAACTATATTAGATTTTATATTGTTCATATCATCATTATTATTGTGATGAAAACCTGATGTGCTGTTTTTTTGGTAAATGATCAAAAGTGACGTTGTGGTTAACGTGGTGGTCCTCACACAGAGATGATGTGATTTTTTTTTTTTTTTTGATCGAAATTTTATCGTAGATATCCAGAGCACGGATGAAAGATGGCAGTTAATTGGGGCTGAATTCTGCTTTTTAACTTACCTGATGGAAACCGAGCACTGATACAGGCAACGTGTCATGACAGGAGCTGCACAGTGATTCTTCTATTCACTCAAAATATCAGTAAATTACACACACAAAATTTATGTGGGGGGCAGGGGGGATCTCTTATTCAAGTGTGACTGGAGCTAATTTACAACAAGATCCATTTTCCAATACATTAAAAACTAGTGGGCCAGAAAAACACATTAGCCACCAGTTGCAGCCATTTGTCCACATTTGTTTTCGCACGCAACAAACCCACATCCTGTGTCCTGAGGTAGAACTCGCTCACCACCATGGTTATAAAATTCTTGGAATTTATAGTCTAATTTTTTCCCTTGGACACGAACAAGAACCGATGAAAATCATTGAGGAATGACAATACCATGGATTTGACAGGAATCAAATGGAACTTTCAAATACTTAGCGTGAATATAAAGTCTACACCCCCCTTTTCAAATGACATGTTTTTGTTACATTGCAAAACAATGACAAAATGAAACACTTTCAAAATATTTTACACCACTTATGTGATCAATAACCCATACAACTCAAAAAAAGCTGATTCTCTCTCGCTCGCTCTCTCTCTCTCTCTCTCTCTCTCCATTTTCTGATACGCTTAATCCTCACAAGGGTCGAGGAGGGTGCTGGAGCCTATCCCAGCCATCTTCGGGCAGTAAGTGCGGGCCACCCTGAACTGGTTGCCAGCCAATCGCAGGGCACACTTGGACGAGCAACCATCCACGCTCACACTCACACCTAGGGACAATTTGGAGTGTTCAATCAGCCTGCCATGCATGTTTTTGGAATGTGGGAGGAAACCGAAGTACTCAGACAAAATTCACGCAGGCCCAGGGAGAACATGCAAACTCCACATAGGGAGGCCAGAGCTGGAATTGAACCCGGTACCTCTGCACTGTGAGGTTGACGCGCTGGCTAG